TCAGCTGTAAACAAGGTACCAGTAATTGTTAAGGGCGTTCATGAATTAATTAATAGCTCTTCATAGAAGTAAAAGACAAAACTATAGAGCAGCTCGATGATTATACAGATGTGATCTCAATTCGACTTAGATATTCATTAAGAGAATTTGCATTCTTTGATTTGGAATGAAAATTATTACGTAATTCTCTAGTAATTATACGAATGCAGCTACTTTTGACATTTCACTTAATTCATTAAAAATTCCTTTTATTCATGGCATCTGTCAATGGACGAATTAAGTAAAATATTTATAAAAAAAAATTATTTATTTGTCGTTAACGAAAATTTATCTCGAAAAAGTAACACGACAAAATAAAAGGTTTCACGCTATCGAGATAGTTGAGCTTGGTAAATTATTAACAATCAAGCAGGTGTTTTGGTGCTCTGTAAGTTCCACTAACAAGACAGCCACTTCGAGGTGCGGATTCAAAGTGTATAATTATATAAGTCTACCCATACGCATGCAAACTGTGATATGAGTCTATACATACCGGGTGGCCTGATGAATTGCATAAATCTTTATTCTTCCCAATGACGCCTCAATGATTTACAATATCAATATATTACCTACACACAATATTAATTAATTTATCAATCGTTTTTTTATATACATTAAAATTCAGACTGAAAATTAAATAATTATTTTATTACACTGAGCTGAAAAAATTTTTTTTCCATTAAATAATATAATAAATAAAACTATCTTTCTACCATATTTTTCCTTTTTTGACTTTTTAGTGTAAAGTATAGGTTCGTCAGGATATTTAATCAAATTGATAGGTATCATTTTTTTTGATAAGGTGTGAAGTTCAATTACTAAGCGCAAACTTACATGGTATCATTTTTTTTTTATCAATACTTGTATTTTTTTGAAGCTTGGAATTCTCTGGTAGCCAGAAGGAAATCTCATTTAAAAATCTATAAAAATAAATTAGTCTCGCACACAACCGCGCTACGTAATCTTTTCACCCAGTATAAAGCTTGCTTTTGCTGGCGTCCGGTCGACTGTGGCGTGAAACCGGTGGGTATGATTACCCACTTGGAGTTAACGATCTTACCATGAAAAAAAAAGATAAGGGAGAAGTGCGAGAGAAGAGTCAGAACCCCATAGTGAATCTTCTCTTAAGGCATGAAAAGAAAACCGCAAGAAAACCATAATCACCTGAAAGTGCAAGTTCGCATTTGGCTATTGTACTTGTATTTTTATGATTATGTATACCAGCAATATTCTATAGTAGTTTTCAACCAACAGGAAATCTTAAATCCATTCTTTAAAAGAAAATATGTGTATTACGGAAAGATTATTTTCACTTACACAAAAAGACAACATTATTTACAAGATTGATAATAAACAAGTAGATGCTCTTTACTTATATTTTTATGATATTTAATTATTATCTTCTGTAAAAATTACTTTAAAAAATTCTCTTTCAGAAAATATTTTTTTATTTAGAATTGCCATTATTTCTTTCAATAATAACATAGTACAGTTAATTGTAAATTTAAAAAAATTATATTTAATAAAATATGATTTCATTTTTTTTTTTTTCGACCTCTCACTTGCTTTGTGTTTTTTCCTTTTCTTGAAACTGTTAAACCAAACGGTTTAAACCATTGTTATTGACACAACGTTACAGAATATAAAATAATCTCCTTTTTTTAATATTCCGTTTTATGAAAGCTCGGAAATGAATGTGTCAATAATCATAAGAGGATAAAAATAAAAAAATTTATTAATTACAAATATTGAATTTTAGCAGTGTATTTAAATTATAATATTGTTTTTTGTTGGTAAATGAACATGTGCAAATATATGCAAATAAACTTTAGATGTGTCGGTTTCCCCCGGAGCACTTTAGCCATGGGAACTCGTTCATCTAAAATGAGAAAACTTAAAGATACTTGTTTCAAGACTTGAGTATAAAATTTTCAAGGAGAATAACTTTTTATCGATACAAATATAAAGCAAACAAATACACATGTCAGTGAATTTGCATAGAAATATAAACATCAATATTTCGTATAATTTCAAATATAAAAGTATATTTTGCTGGATATTTCCTCCAGGTACAATAAAAACTTCATATTATCGGACTGCAGTGTCATAATACTCTAATATTAGAAAAAATTCGATGATGAAAATGTAAATACCAATTATTCTGTACATATACAAGCAAATAACTGCAATTTCATTCTTATGATATTTATTTTATTCACAATAGAAAACGAGATAATGAATAGCAACACTATGTTCGATTGAAGTAAAAAGAAATTCATATCTCTATATAGACTCTAAAGATATCCTACTACCCTTGTGTATAAGTATTAATTTAGTTTCCAACCGCCTGACAATCATAGCCTCTGCTATATCTATAAATATACATATATGGTATTGTATGGTATAGAAAACTCAAGTTATTACTTTAGATCTTCTTAACAGCTTGAAAAAAACTTGATTCTACTTTTAAATTAAATAAATCATTAGGGATTCTAGAGAATCAATTTATATGAAAAATTGTATCCAAACAGACATATAATACTAATCCAGTCTCTTGAATTGCTTTATTATACTTTAGTATAGTTTATTATTAAGTAGATATGGGGAGTTAAAAAATTTTAACAAACTATTAAAATATAAGATTTATCAACAAAATTTTTGCTAAAACATAAATATGTAATGACAAGGCTTCCGCCTGTTGAGACTATCACCTGGGTTACTCTTTTAGAAAATATATTTTCTACCGTAAAAGTGCACCCGGCGATGAAAGAAAATATTGATGCATCAGTTGATGGTTACCTCCATTACATCCGCTTCGTAGTGCTTAGATATAGCAACAAAAATAACACAAAAGATGGACGTAAAGTTAAAAAAAGAAATAATAAACGCCCACATATTGAGATTTTTTGTTGTAATAAAAATAGCATATTCAATTTTTATTTCAATAATGTTAACAACATAACAATAAACAAAATGATCACTTAACTCGAATATTCATTCATTAAAATTATACTTATGAATTAGTGAAATACTATAATAATGTAATTGTACATTATATTTTGATTCAAACATTAATTACATTCAGAAATAATAGAACAGAATTTATGCATTCTCATTCGACCTCGGGTATACATTGTAGGACAATTATGAGCTTAATTTTTTCATCTTCAATTGAATTACAATAATTCCAACATAAAATAATTCGCCTAATTTCTGTTATACTTCTGAAGCACTTTAAATTATTATGATAAACTTTATAAAATAATTCACAATTGGTGTATAATTTTATAATCAGATTTATTTTTAGCTGATGAAAACTAGAGAAAAAAAATGAACATGTTGAATGAATAAACAAGATAATGAAAGTCATCATTTTTGACTCACGGGTTGGAAGAAATGTATGCTATTTATGAGATCGTAGTATTCACAATGGGATAACTTGTAGATTGTAAAGTATGATCTTAAACCACCAAGTACCAGGATAGAGCAAAAGTTTTACTCATGGAAGTGGAAACGATATCTACTAGGTTGCAAGAATGTGAGGTAGAAAGAATTGGTTATTAAACTTTCAGAAACTTTTCAAAAATATCTGCATGCAATAGTAGACATTGTTGATAATGCCTATATTTTCTACTCTTCTTATCTCACCCACAATATCTCGAACTGCATTGAATCCTATAAGCTACATATTTATTTAAAAATGACTCCCTGGAATAAATTCGCATGTTATTATATTTGAACCAAATTTACTGGATAGTGCGTTCAACCAACTACTGTTAATCGCATAACCATGTGAGCAAAATATATGTAGTAAGAGAATGCGTACATAACAGTGGCTGGAACAGTCCTATCTTGCTGCGTTCTCCAGTCGAGTGCTGTCGAGAACAATGCATGTGGCGTATAATTTCACGGTTGTAAGCATAATGTCTATTGCGTACTACGTGTTAACTGAGGTGTACTCCAAAAATTCACACAATTATTTTATATAAACCATTAACTGCATACGAAATTAAACTCACCCATTATTACACATTTGTTAACCAACATTTCGACAAAAATTAATTATCAACAATAGAAATATAAAAAAAGATAAAAATTTCTTCTATTAAAATTTTATTTACCCAAGTTTAAATTAGTTGCTGATAAAAACCAATTTTGTGTATGGTGTCTCATAAAAATTATGGCTCATAATATATTAAAGTAAAGAACTCTTTAAATTTATTATCATTTTACATAAAATTTATTTATTTTTAAGACTTTATTAAATATTATCATTATTAATTTAAATTCTTTTAAATTAACTCTATCTTTTTAACTTAAGTCAATTTTTCAACATGAATACGAGTAATAAAATAGAGATGACAGAACACGTGAATACATATATCATTATTAAGTTTCTCAAGTTCTACTTAGATATTATAAATAAACATAAAGAAAATTTTTGCATCTAGTTCCTTCAGTGTTGGTAATACATTTTAATATGCAGAGAACAGAAGCGCATGTATGTATCTACGTTCTAAGAGCTCGTTCGTTATTTAGTTGAGCATGAATGCAGCGTTATAATAGAGAGTAAAAGCAAGAACTAAGCAAGCTTCGTATCCGCAAAGATCTTTCTGCGAAATGTTTCTAAGGAGGGATTCAGCGATCATGAAGAACAGCACTCTAATCCGGATGAGGTGAAGACAGCCTGTAGTCAAGCTGGTAGAGATGAAGTACTACTCTGGTAATTTTCACCAACCTCATTTACGTTAATACTCTTTTTTTCCAATTTACTGACTTTAACTTTATGCCAAACTCTGAAAAATTTTATTATAACTTAACGATAGTTTTTATTAATATTAAGGCTTTATAAAAAACTAAACAACGTTTACTTGACTATAATTTTATTTAATTAATGTAATTAAGTTATTTCCAATTAACATAAATATATTATAATTTCAATTAAAGTTCATGGTATTTCATTTACATATTCAAAGTCCAGAAATGTTAATTAATTTAAAACAAATCATCATCGACATCAAAGTCATTTGTGACATTTTTGAGAATAGCATAAATGTCCAATTGTACATTTAATCCATGACCACGAGGACTTAATGCCAAAACTACCACAGAGCTGTTTCCTGGTCCACCTTTGATGACTGAGACAGTGGCGTTTGATCCAGGAGCATTGACACCACTTACATGAGTAATGTTTCCATTAGCATTATAGCCAGAAATAGCTATGGATGGGAAAAGAGGATGTGGTGCCTGCAAAAATACATGACATGTAGTTAGATGTTTTTTTTTTTTCATTTAGTGGTTAAAAACAGTCATACTTACTCTGACAAGTTTTCTTGAAGCAACAAGAACATCACCAGGTTGTCGTTTTCCAACATTTAAGTCTTTTGAAGTGGCACAGATGACCAAAGCCAAGCAGGCAATTGTGAAAAGAGCGAATTTCATTTTGCACTTATAGTTTTTAAGTAGCACAATACAAGTAGAAGTAAGTTTCTAGAGATACTGATACTAATAATTGAATTACTGAAACAATTTATACTCATATGCTATCATATCAGCCTTGCATTTCTCATGAACAAACAGCCGAGTACGTGGAAAAACCATTACCACCCGTCAACAAGATGTGTTTTATTCAATTATCTTAAATTGTTTTTCTATAAATTTTCTAGCTCTTATCAGAATCTCAATGCCACTAATATTTTTTTGCCAAGTCACTCCCAAGAAATGTGAGCTCATCAAAACGTTATTACTCTCATTTAATCTAGATATTTATTGAATTTTTTCTTCAGTGAATAGAAAAAAAATATTCGCATGAACATCAGGCAGGATGAATTGCTTAATGAGATGAATAAAAAGAGTATTAACAATTTTTTAGAATTTTCATTTAACGAGATAAAAAATTAATGAACAGAGTAATCAAATTGTATTATCTATCAAATAGTATTATCTATTTTCTCAACGCACACACACACTAAGCTATTGATTGTTGGGGGTCTGATAAATGCTGATTGCATTTCTATCTCAAGATGTTAATATCAATGTAAAAAATCATTCAATTAGATTAGAAAATTGTTTTGTAAAAGTATGTGTGTATTTTCAAAGAACAATACATATTTGAATTACTGAAATATTCAAAAATAATATATTGGAGGAAACGTAATATTTATCATGAAATACATTTGATATTAAAAGTATACCTTTTGATTCTTTGATCTTTGCACTTGTCTCTTTCTGGCCAACGATCCCTTTTCCACATTATATTGGAAGCTGCCACGAAGAGTTTCCGATTGCACACATTTCTTTCGTATCTTCTTCACCCAAAGAATTTTTACGCTTAACGTGTATGGAATGCTCCCTCTTCGACAGTCAAAGACATGTCATTTTTCCCATTGTCATTCTTTATGCGTACATTTCCTTTGAAATAGAATAAATATTAAAAATACCAACGCAAATACTTGATACCTAATTTAATTAAGAATTAAAATGTACCGTTTATTTGACTCTGTGATGATGTCCTAAAGGATATATTATTTTCCAATAAGTTTGTTATTTCATTTTTCATCTCCATTCAATTTTCCCCCAAGAGTATTCACAAAGCGCGAATAGACATACACAAAAGAAGCGTCAATTCGGAATTTTGTTCGATGGAAGCTTGCACAATTTTTGTTCATATATCCTATGGACGATCAGATGTCGACGCCATTTTCTGCCGCTTCGCTTGTATTCTATAGAAGCACGTATTCGATACCGGTTAAAGTATTCGTCGAATAGACGAGCTGGCTACGGAAATGTTCATTTTTTCTCTCTGACTTTTCGTCGACCTGTCCACATGACGATTTTCTATTCATTTTCGCTAAACTCAAAGTAAAAATAGATCCCCTCTCTTCTTCGAATTCATACGATGTTGTACCTTTGAAAGAAAATTGGAAGAAAATCTATATTCTTCACTATCGTGATATACTACTCTAAAATAAAACATCAAATAGAATCATTCGAATATATACTATTTTATTATTATTCCCTAGATATCATAGAAAAAAAATATAAAATGTCTTATAAAGATATTGAATAGTTTTAGTTGAACTGGAAGATTTTTTTAAATCAATTTCCAATATTATATTTATCATCATTAATTTTAATAGATCCTAGAGTTTTATATTTATTTGATTCATCAATTTGAATGACGTGAGCTTTTTTAAAATTGTTATCATGATAAGTTTAAAGATTAATGTGTAGTACTATCTTTAGAAACTTTTTCACAGCAAGATAAGATAAATTGAAATCATTTTCTAATAATTTCAATTACAGGAATTTATTTTTCATTATATTTATTTAAACATTATGTAAATAAAATGTTTCTTTTTTATTATTAAATGTATCGGTTGTCGAAAATTTTATACACGTTATCCGATATATACGGAAATATATGTATACAAGTATTGCCTAAGGCAATGTTAAACCGAGTTCAGAGTGAGTTCCTACACAACATCGTCAAGTTCTAAGGTGACAGAAACTTTGGTTGGAATAGTATGCAGTGAAATCCGATGAATTAATATAAAGACGAAGATCACAAACTTAATAGATAGGTGTATTAAATATATATCTTTACAAAGTTCATGATGCAGACTTTCGATGTTAGTCGATTAATGTGAACATTTTAGCAGCAGCAGACCACAAAATAAGGCAAACTTTCTCATATAACTTTTAACAAATTTCGATTAAGCTGCTTCATCACAAATTTATTCTAAATGCTTTTAGTCAACTAAGCTGATACAAGGAATCTTTAAATCATTAGAGTAACTCTGAAGATCTAACTTATTCTGTGATCCGTGAAATTATGATGTCATGATTCGAGATTTTATAATTCTATAACGTTCAGACCATTAAACATTCTAAAAGCACTTTTCAACTTAAATAAGCTTCGTGTATTTTAATTCTTCAGCAAAAAGTTTTTCTTTTAAAAATAAGAAAGAATAATTTTACAGAAGATACATTTCCAAAAGTTCGAATAAATAAAAAGAAGATGAATTAGTCTTGAAAGATTAATTAAATTGTTACAAAAAAAAGCACTTAATGGATTTTGATGTATACTAGAGTAATGTTTTGGAGTGAATTTTGCAAGTCAATATCTTAATGGAAAAGTTAAAAATGGATAAGAGAGAATATGTTGAGGATATTTCATATTTGGTCTTTTCAATTCAAGTGTCCAAGAGAGAAGTAACCAGTGTCAAAGTTACTTTAACAATCACTCACTTTTGTTTCTTGGTGTCTTTTTTTCCAATACGTTGTACTTCTTGAAACTCTGGTTAACTGGAAAGAACCAAATCTAAGTGAAATCCATCCCTGGTATCGTACTTGAGTGATCTGCGAAAACAAATAAAGGAAAAAAAAACGACACGACCAATTCAATATTTCACAAAGAAAATCCATGAAACCAGACCGTCTAAAGTTTCCTTCATCTTCAATGCCGCTTCATGATTTTCTTCTTTCATCTAACTCGTGTTTTTTATTCTCTCAATGAAATACTTTTCTTTGAAACTTTGAATTCTAGTTAAACATAAGTTTGATTTAAAGGGAATTCTGGTTTAATTAATTTTTAATGAATCATTCTGTTATTTTTAAACTTCATAGTAAATATTATTATTCAACATTTACAGTAATTAATATAAAATGGAATGTTATACTCCAGAGTGCTCTCCATCATATGATCCATCCTAGTGGAGTTTAATTTGAAAAGTAATGATTTATATTAAGCAATAATTTATGCATTTTGCAATAACTGCTGAATATATGTACGTGTTTAAATACCTATCTCTCGTGTTAGGTCCGTCAAACATGTCACTTAATATGACACGAGTGGTAGATATCTTTTCATAAACTCACCGATGTGGAAAACAGATTTGGGTTATTCGTGACTGGGAAGAGGTGGGGAACAGAGATGAAATGACACGCGTGCTATTGCTCTACTGCAATGTCGAGAGAGTCGAGCTGAAAGCGTAGGGAGAGAACTAGTCCAGTAAATACGTATGATGGGCCTTGTTCACATCGCTGAACTATAATACAATCAAACGCGTTGGAGCGTTAACAACTCGACCATGTTTCAGACATTTTAGAAATTGTATAACCCTAATCTATATTGTAAATCAAACTTTTTTTGTCCCAGTACAAAAAACTGGTGAAAAAGGCTTTTGGAATGCTTGAAAAAATTAATAAAATTCAGTGTTGGCGTCGAAAAAAAATTGCTAGTTTTTTTGATCACACGTTTTTGTTAGTGATTGCTCAGTGACTTTGTAGTGACTTGGATATTGCCAAGTCGTGCGTAAAAAAACATTTGTTGCATCGAAAGTCTCCTATTTTATTTGTCTTGAACGAAACCAGAACGAGTAGAATAAAGCTGAAGCAGAAAAAGAAAAGGGTGATTGTATCGAGCTTGGAAACATTTAGCTCTTCTATAACATTTTCAATTCGCTCGACTTACGTATCAACGTTATTGAGTTCAAACCACGAATAAGAGCACGCATGAGCAAGTGAACAGGTATCCAACAGCTAAACCCTCCTTGTCATGATATTCACGTAACGTAACAATAACACTAGTCACCCCTTGTCTATATCCTGCAAATACTCCGATAACTGCAACATACCGAAGCCATGATCTCTCCTATAATTGATTGATGACCCCAATAATATTATTAGCAAAAAGTCACGACAATTAATTACTAAATGGATATACGATAATTATTTTCTTCAAATAATAATTTTACAGTTTGATAAATCATATGAATTCCAATACAAAAAAATATCATTATAAAGTTTCCAATTGATAATGTTATGGATTAAATTTTATCTGGAATAATATTGATATTAAAATTCAATGTTCAAACTCAAACTTTATTTTTTATATTTTTCCTGTTTCTTTTTCCACCATAATTTATACGTACAATACATGAACATTTCATTTACAACTTACTCCAAGTTTTTAGACGTTACCATTGCTGATAAGTTTGGAAAAGTTTTAACACTGAGGAAAATGTTTCCTTGTTACCGCTCAGCGCATAGCATACTCTACTAGATTATACTACTTCGCTTTGAAAGATAATGAAACCTCGAGACCTATTTAGTTTGCGGAAACGGACAAATATACGAACAAATGAGACTTTGTGAAAATGAGCGTAGAAAAAACTCGAATGGAAATTATAAAAATAGATGTAAATACGGAACAAGTTTAAACTTTTTATATATTCGAAAAATTGTATAAACTTTTGTCCATACACTTTTTTTTTTTTTTATAAACTTTTTTTACATTCTATTTCTTTCATTTATTTCATTTTCTTTAAACAAAAAACTTTTTATTCACCAGAGACATTAAATTAAGGCAATCTGTCCAACGCTTTATAGTCAGTAGCTTTTACACGAGTTGAAGTATTTTACCAACTAGACATCAAGGTATACTCATAAATGAACTTCCAAAGGGATCACACCGGGATAGCAGTAAATGTGTCACCTCCCGTAGAGAATCGCAAGGTT